GCTTTCGTAATGAAACAGGGTTGGGTTTTGTTATAAAGATTCACCCAATTAGCCGATCTAATATTAAGATGGTACAGACGGTGGTTGTACATCCCCACCCCCCCCCCCCCCACCCCCGGAACGGTAATACATTATGTAAGAGACAACTAACTGACTGGTAGACTGTGTCGATACCACGACTATCAAGGAGAGCAAAGATTTGTGGAAACATTTTTTCGAACAATTTACTACCGTTGACAGTTAGTTTACCGCCCTGTACGCCGTTGTACGCACCATCGGTTGTTATAGTTTTTACGACACGTCAGGTCGGTTGTTTCGCGCCCTGTGGACAACCAGTGGGATCCGTAATCCATCACCTTATAAAGAAGATTTGTGTAACTTAGAATTTATGTTAGACTGAAGTTTTTCTAAGCTCACTCATGTGTTTTGGTACGTTGTTTCTCTTTATACCTCAATTTTCTCTTGAAATTATGGTACACTGTTTTTCTCTTTCTAGGTGTCTTGTCTCTGACAATCTCTTGTCTAACCAAGCTTGTTTGGTGAGACAATTGTCACAGACAGAGACAAGTTCGCAGAGCAACTCACTGACGTACCTAATCAAGAGAAATTGGGGTATAGGAGAAACAACCGTCCAAACATCGGTCGTACAAGTAGACTCGCAGGTCTCTTTCCATGGTGAGTTGTTCTCTTAGTTATTCCCGACACAACACTTTATGACAGGTCCATTGGCATTCAGATACCACTATCCACAAGGCGAACACGTCAGCTGACTTGGTCGTGAAGGATAACTAGTGAAGTTACCATCGGTCGTATGTTACAATGGCTACATGGTACAGTAAACTAACTGTCAAGGAGACTTCTTGAAAGACGACTGTTTCTAACACTTTAGTTTAGCTCTCTGAGTTAGTCGTGGTAATCGACACTTAGTCTTCTGTCGTAGGTGTCTCTTTACGTGAGTTGATTACACCGTCGGGGGTGGGTTTCGGGGGGGTTGTGGATGTACAACCACGTAAGTACATCTTATTTTTGATCCGAGTAAGTGTGATCTAGTTTACTAATCTCCCATACTCGTTGTTCATTACGAAGCAGAGGTCGAGTGACGTTGTAATCACGTAGTCTCACATTGGTTGGCTTAACACATAGTATGAGAAACCCATGCAATAGAACGTAGATTGTCAATGTCGTCTGTCGACTTGTCAATAACTCTGGTTTTAGAAGTAGTTGCTGTTTTTTCCAATGTAAATACAACGCATAAAATTTGTACGTACCAGAGGTAGCTTTAGTCTTCTGGTAAGAGTTGTCGTAACGAAATAGAACTAGTAGCCGTGTTTAGTCTACGAATCTTACAAAACTGTCACTCTTATTTAGTGTTGATTGACGTTGTGACCTTCTGATGCAAAGAGTAGTATATATAGGTATTAAATACGTTCGGGCCCGCGACAGAAGGTCTAGATGGACGTGAAAGTGTCCCTCCCTTGTCAATGGGAATATTTATCTAGTAATCGTCGTGTTAACTATGACTACTCGTTTTATGCATGTCAACAATAGTCAGTTAGTAGGGTACTAAGTATTCCTTTGGCGTTACCATCAAGTCACCGTATCGGATTAATTGTCGCACATACAATGTGCTTATGTAATGTACTGTCCTTAAACGTACTGCATGGACTTTGTAGGAATTGACAACAGACCAGCTTCAACTTCACGTCACACCTTCTTCTGTCAGTCATCGATTGTATCTCTTACAACCGTTATTTCACCTCCTCGTCAGATGTCGTCTTAGTCTGTACAAAGCGGTCGCTCCTTAAACGGACATCAGAAAATGGCAAAGTTCCCAGACACTCTTGAGGGACATACATAACACCCCACAGTTTATTACTCTCACGTGAAGGTACACTTCTACTTTCGGGTGTGGACTGTTGTGACAGATACCATTTGGACATTATGTGTGCTTCATCAGTAAGTCATTTCTTGGAGAGGTGAAGTAATTCTACGTCAACAGTTATACACGAGTTGTTGTTATCGATAATCAGACGTCAGACGAACGTTCCCTTCTTAGTGACCTGCATCTACTCCGATACACCCCTTTCCTTTCTCGGTTCACGACTAGTCTTGAACTCGAACCCTTGGTTGTGTAGGAGTGAGGGACGATGCCGGATACAACTTGCAGTACAGTGCAGGGTACACATACGATAAAAGGTTACGTTCTCTCTCCCGCGGATCAGTCGAAACACGTTGACGTTTACCCCGAGAAGACTTCGCTGTAAGCTGCTCAATGCCCATTTATAGGTATCAGAAGATATATCGAGGAGTTTGGAACAGTAAACACTGGTCAGTCCAGAGTTTTCATCACTCCGCGCGGAGGGCGACCCACGTCACTCGAAGTCCCACCTCCGCGCATAGCACTCTGTCGTTTTCTTGGATCTTTGCTTCGACTGCTCATTTCACGTAACGGCGTCGACCACAGCGACCAAACCTCCCTGTCACTCCACGGGAATCTCCGGAGCGGTTTTTCGACATTATCACGATCCATCAACACAGGGAGGTAATGGCACACCTCACGTCAAGAAGTCTGAAACTAGTTTTGTGTAACGAGTCATCTCCGTCGGTTCATACTAGACACAGCTAAGCGTACACACGTAGTTTCTTGCGTCTGAGTAACCAAAGGTTGATTTCATCCCACTCACATTATTCCTCGTTCTCAACTCGAGTCACACAACGGCCCCCGTATATTCCTAAATAGGTGATACAACTTTTACAATTTTTTTTTTATACAGACAACTCTGTGCCGCACGCCTCCCTTGATATGCCCAGCCACCGACGTGATCTACACGACACAGGAGACATTCTTCCCACATCCGCCTGACTGTACGTGTCCGGTTTGCCGACAGGTGTCCGACAGGTTGAAATTGTGACATAATTGAAGGTCCCATCACCTAACTTGTACGTAACATTAACCACACACCACTCATAAAGTACGTGCCTGCTACGTACAAGGTGTTGTGTGTTTGACTTGTTGTGAGTTCAAAAAGACTCAGCATGGTCCGCAGGAAGCAGAACAACTATTATTTGTCTCACCGTGCAACCTGACTACGTATACCCAACCCTGGTAAGCCCGAGATGAAGGAGCGCCACCACGTTTATCAGGTTCATCTACCCCTCAAAATATGTTATACAAATGATTGTATTTTTATTTTTCACAATTTTTTCAATAGACAAAATTACAAATCCTACACTGCAGAGTCGGTTACGTGTTAGCCACGTCAGCGTGCTATCTAAGTTTGTCGTGTGTGTCTCGGCTTCTCCTCTCCTCTTGTCAGCCCTCTTAAAGGTTGTACCGCCTTCGATCCGGTCGCTTTGCTCTCTAAATTAATGTAAAAGAGATATGACCTGGAGAAACTTTACGTTAACTTATGGGGACGTAATATCGTTGTTGTTGTTATTATTATTATTATTATTATTCATTATTAGTTATTATTGTCGTCTTATTATTTAACTCTCCCCCCCGCGCACCAAGAATACAAGAGACTCCCCTCCGAGTGGATGGGTGTGAAACTTTGGGACAACATCTGCTGAACTCTTAGCCGCTTTCGCTTACGATGGCGTCTTAGGTAAAGTGTCTACAAATAGTTGGAAAAAGAATGAAGTTAAGTTTCGGTGTGAATAACAAAAATGAAGAAATAAATCTAACTTATTACATCACGAAAACAACGCAGTCAATACCCCTCTCATCCCGAGTCTACCGACTTAGACATAACTAAAGTAGCAAAAAGGAAGATTAAAACATAATAAAAGATTTGGTGTGTGACAATAAAGAGTTGTGAATTGGTGTATTAATAGGTAAACACAAATAATAAACAAACTAATTATTTGTGTTCAACCTCAGGCAGTCCTGCTCCCAGCCTCGTCGAGGTAATCGGATCAACGAAATCTCTTAAAATGTGGCCTTCATCATAAGAGAGGCAAAGCAATTGTTTGTGACACTATCAGGAGTTCGAGACACTAAAAACCTACAAACTCACACAAGCGGTCCGTTGCGGTATTAAATTTTTGAAGTCTGCTGTCTGTAACATCTCACACCGGCGCTTTTTTGTGACCAGTATTTTCAGTTTTGGTCATGTAAGTACATTTTGCAAAAGATATTCAGAGTTATGGCAAGTGTGTTTCTGTTTAGATGGCTATGTTCTTGTTTTGAAGAAATGAATTTTGATTCTAAATAGTGGGTTTAGCAATTGAGAAAAACTGTAATGTGCAGGTATATTCAAAATAAAAGAGTCAGCAAAGCACACGTTTCTGAGTTTACTTTGTGTGATCCAGCGTATGATGACTTTAATGTTCAAAAAGCTCTTTATTTTTCTCATACTGCCTCCAGCACCTCTTTTCACCCTCTGTCTGAAACCAGACCCTAGTCTGCTCTGATTGGTTAGCTGGCTGGCTATGTTGTGATTGGTCAACCGCTTAGAGATGTCCTGCCCCTTAGCCTACAATGTGTTTGAGCGCTTTTTTTCAGGTGCTAACCAACTTTGAAATAAGACTATCCAGTCACATGGGCTGTCGAGATCAGAAAACAGAATATCCACCCACTATCTGTTTATCAGTATCCCTACTGCTTAAAAGATACTTTTGCAAAGTGTTAATAATAATTAAAAAAGTCAGTTTGACCGAGCAAAATCTGCACACATTTTGATTGTTAAATTTATTTTGTTAAAAAAATCCGAAATCCGAAACGGGTTTATTACCAGATAGGTTGACACGAACGAGGAATTTGACTTGGTGTCGTGGTGCATACATAAAAGTAAAAAATAAATAAATACGCAGATAGCGAACTATATTTTAAGAACTATATAATAACAAAAAAACAGGGGGAAACCCCCCCCCAGATATTGTCAACAATCTCCTACAGTATTGTCACATTCTGAGCCTATTAACACCTGGCAGTCAAATGTTATCGACACCTGGCTGTGGAGGAATATAAATGTTCCCTTGTGTCTGTGTGTCTGCAGGGAGGAGGGCCAGTGCGTGGAGGGCATCATGGAGATCTTCGACATGCTGCTGGCAGCCACCTCTCGCTTTCGTGAGCTGAAGCTTCAGAGGGAGGAGTACGTCTGTCTGAAGGCCATGATCCTCCTCAACTCCAGTGAGTTCTGCTGACGCGGACAAACCGCAGTGTTCATTTAATGTTTTCTGAGACGGATGAGTTAGTTTGCAACGAGCAACAAATCCTGCCTGATCCTGTCCAGTTGGTACATCACAGTGTTTTTTTGCTTCTTCTTCTTCTTCTTTTCCCTCTGCTTGGTTTTGGTTAATGACACTTTAATCTGGAACTTAGTGGTTCATTGACACCTGTCACGCATCAGACCCACACATTAAAACAAACTGACCAGAGCAAAAAAAAAGCTGAAAAATGAATATATTTATATATTCTTTTGGCCTTACTGTCTGTGTAATTTATTAGCTGGGGTAAATAAATGTTCATTATCCATTTGGAGTTGCATTAAAGTAGATGTGGGGTTAAAGCTTTTAAAGTGTAATCCAAATAAAGGTTTCCAAATTCTCTCAAAGCTCTCAGAGGAGCCAGCATCTCAATTTATCAAGTCTGAGAGGTTGCATCACCTCCCTCAGTCTCTACGTTAGAGGTGATCGATCTCCGTGCTCTTGTTCTTATGAATTAGTCGTAACATACACAGTACTCAGTATCTTGACAAAGAACAATGAAGCATGTTAACATGTCACAGAAGAGGCACAACACACAAATATGAACCTGAAAATATGAAAATGTCCTCTTAAAGGTAAAACTAGCATGTGGAAATTATACATATCCCGACAAAGCTTTTATATACCCAGAAATAACAACAAAATATGTACAAACACACATATGGATTGCTAGGAATGCCTATTACCGTGTTTGTTTTCATACAAATGTGATCCTAAAACATCAAATATGTACCATTATATAAAAGCTAATTTGGTTACTTTTCTAGTTTTTCATTGGCTTGAGGTTTCGTTTATGTGACACATTTTAAACCTCACGATAAAACGGTGTGTGTTGCTCCAGGGTTGGACGTAGTCTCATTGTGCAGGTGAAGTGAGATTGGCCGAAGCTTCCACTTGTTTGAATGTAGGATGAAATGACCTTTGAAGGTGTACTTTATTGCACAGCGGCTTGTGTTTTTTAACCTGTGATGTGTTCCCAGCGGTCACAGTGTACTGCCCTGACCCCCTCACCCCCCAACCCCTCTCCCAGGGTTAGGCCCACTGTACAGGTTTCATGGAGGTGACTGACCTCTCCGCATGACCTCAGAGTTTAACACAGTTCCTCCCTAACAGACGCACACAGGCTCCCCCGCCAGCTCTCTGTTGACTCTGCTCCACTGCAGCTGGCGTGCGAAAAAGGGAACAAATTGTGAAAGAAGTGAAATCGAGTTTGAAAAGTCAGGGACAGGGAGGAATTTTAAGATTTATGTATTTAGACAGATGGAGGGCTGTGGCTGAACTGTAACAACAGGATCTACAGCTTCTTCTCTCTCTGCGGGTCAAGGTCAAGGCTTTTATTAGTCATACGTACGTAGCTACAGTGTAGTTATGACCACGAAAATCTTAGGTCACAGGCTCCTCCAACAGTGCAACACAATAAAACAGAAAAAGAGAAAAAATAGTGCAAGTAAATACAAAAAGAACCGTGACCCTGTGCATTTAAAACAATGGATGCACTTTGGTTAACCTCTTGTTTAATCAATAAAGGTTGCTATCAGCTGAACAGCCTGTGAACACATTGCCCTGTCAATAAGAATAGATACATTTCATTTTGAGCCAAACACTTCAGAAGCATGTTTTGTATATATCTAAGACCTATAATATATTGATGAATAACAGTATAATAGGGGACCTTTAAGTATTGAGAAATAGATTCAATATAGTGTTATTTTGTTCTAAAAGATCCACAGCAGCCTCGGTAGACCACATAGCTGCAGAATGCAGTGATTTATAATACTGGCACAACGCTTTGGCAGATTGTTAGTCTCCGTCTGAAGGGAGATGATGTGTGTGTCTCCCTCCTGAGATGTGTGTGTGTGTGTGTGTGTGTGTTGCAGATCTGTGCTCCAGCTCCCCTCAGACGGCCGAGGAGCTGGAGAGCAGGAACAAGATGCTGCGTCTGCTCGACTCTGTGATCGATGCTCTGGTCTGGGCCATCTCCAAGCTGGGCCTGTCCACCCAGCAGCAGACTCTGCGTCTGGGCCACCTCACCATGCTGCTCTCCCACATCCGCCACGTCAGGTACGGCCAGAGGCGGCAGGAAACGGCAAAACCGCAGAGGAGAGAATCGAAAAAGCACACATTCTCAGAGATGATTAAACTCTAGCTGTCTGGCATCATCTGTCTTTATTCGTACACTCTCACAAATGTATTCCTACATTAATTCTCAGAAGGCATGAATACGCACTCACGCACATTAGTCTTTCAGACACTTAGAGAGAATACTTGACTTGTGATGTTCGAAAAACATTTCAAGAAAAAACATACTTTTTTGATGTTATCATAAATACAAATGTTATTCACACAAGAAAGTCAAAGTGCTTTACTTTGAAGAAGCTGACTTTTAAACAATAATGAAAAACATAACATAACAAATAATATTTGTCTAAAATAAAGCATTTTTTGAAATGATTATGTGTTCAGAAGCTTACATTTCGGAGACATACAATCCTCTTAACCAGTGGTTCTCAACTGGTCAGGCCTCGGGACCCACTTTTTACTTGGTCAATACATCGCGACCCAACATTTTGAAGCACTCAAATCTATTCAACAAAAAAACCTGCTGTAATATATATGCTTTTCAGCATAAAATATTAATACAAGTGAAGTACAGTGCATATATCCCTTATATCCCTTCACAGAACTAAAGTATGCTTTTAAAAAGGGTTTAATGAGATGAACTATATAAAAAGGCACACATATTAATAATTATTATGCCATTGTTTCTTTTTCACTTTGTTCTGACATCTTGCTGCGAGAAGAGCAAAGAGGAGATAGTCTGTGTGACTTACTTTAAATTGTGGGTAAGGGTAGATAGCTCCCATTGTTCTGTGACCTGTCAATCATCAAACCGGGGGTCATATTTCATTATGTGTTCATTTTTATCTGAAGTTGTACCCATGGATGTATAAAGAAGAGTTCTACCGCAAAGTTATTCTTCGTGGGGACTTCCGGCAACAATCTTGATTCTGATTGGCCAGAAGACTCGAAAAAACATCAGCAAAGATATTTTATTGAGAAGATGATCACTACGTGACAGAAGTTTTCAAAACCGTTTATGGTCTCCGGTACTTCCATTCCAACGCCGACTGCATGCACAGCGTTAGAAAATCGGGCCTTCAAAATAAAAGCTTGACTTTTTCCCCCAAAAAAAGAAGAAAAAAATAATATTGTAGTTTTTTTTCTTCTATTTTCGTTCACATCCACATCGCGCGACCCACTCGTAACGGGTCCGGCGACTCCACTTTTTCTGTGGTTGCCGCGAACCACCAGTTGAGGAACTGCTCTAGTCACATCTAGTGACATCTATATACTGACAAGCTACCAAACGCTAGTCTCACACAACTTCACACCGAGCGAGAAGCTAGGCGAGGAGTCGCTCTGTTCACCGAACAAGAGCTCTCCCAGAGCATGTTTCCCACCCTGGGGCGTGCCGCCCTTGGGTGGGTGGACTAAGAATCCGTAGGGGGAGGTACTTTGTCGCAGGCCGTCAAGTCTGTTCATGGTTGGCTGACGGGCAACATAGTCTAAGTGGCCGTGGGTTTCGGTTCCTTTTCAAGAGCTTGGGTGGTGCTCGCGGCGTGCGCCCCTTGGCGGACGCCACTCCAACATCCGTTAATCCCAGGAGCGTTGGATTTTTTTTGGCGGGCATTTAGTCAACGGGACTGTCGAGTCCCAGAGAAGATAGCTGGGGGATTCATGGGTAGTGTAGTGTCTTCGGCGCGCATGCTAAACTGAGTTTGTTTCCGGGATACCTCATATCGCCGATGTAACCGAATCATCTGGGCGTCGACAGGTATCTTGCTGATACGTGCCGCGTTCTTCTTTCTCTAGGAGGAGGGAGACGAGAAACAGTAACTCCTGGATTTGTTTTAATGTTTTGGAGGGGGCAAGTAAACGACACAGCCAGTCTTTTTGGCTATGTTAAAAGCCTATTATTTTCGGTGTCCGTCGCTCGAGTGAACGCGGAGGTAACAGGCTGCCGAAATTACGGAGCCTCGCTACTGAATTCGTCAATGTGCGCGGGTACAAAATTGGATTATTTATAAATGATATCTATCGAATTATTATAATCACAGACAAGTAACATGGCAAAGACGGTATGTAGAAATAAGACGTCTTTGAGATACGTTCATAACGAAAGTAACGTGGTGAGTGATTGGAGAAAATTACGTGTTTTAGCTAAAGCGTAATCTGTGGGACGTAATTTTCAGGGAGACAGGTTGTTTCAGATTCATGTCCTGCCACACCACTGGCAGGAAAGAAGGCCGACACGGCCCGTTCTAAGGCCGTGGTCCCTCACTCCCACATCCCAAGCCTGGCATCCCAAAAGTTTATATATGTTTTTACATCGTTTCAGATGTTCATGTTTCAGTTTGGCGTCGTTGATAAGGCCATTAAACCAGTAAAGAAGACGGTTTCCGGCCGGGGTTGCTTTTGTGTCTCCTGGAGGCCGTACCACCAAAACATACTCATCCTGTGATGGAAAAAAGAAAGTCATCCAAAAGTAAATTGTTCTAAAAGTAATCCTGAGTACGTGACGTTTGTTAGAAACACGTAACTGGAAAAGAAATATATATAGTTGAAAAAAAAAAAATGTGTAGGATGAGATCAAGGTTACATAAATGGATTCCTATCAGTGGTATCAGTGTAAAATGGTAAGAGGGGCAAAGCCCGGTGGCACCATGGGAGACATATGTGTGGCTGGACCCTGTATTTTACAGGAGAAAGGAGTGTAGCAGAGGGTCGACGGTGGTCGGATTGTTGTTCAGTTGGCATCGGCCTCGACCCTCTCGACTTTGAGTTGCGCGCGCCTGCTTAAAGAGACAGCCGTGCTACCATGGAGAACGCAACATATGCGGTGTAGCTGTATTTAAAGGCCGAGTGGAAGACCGCGTGGGGGAGTAAATCTGATTTGTCAGAATCGGGGAGGAAACTCGGGAGGGTTGCAAGTAAAGCACAGCACACACAGCGACACACACACACACACGACACACACGACACCACACACACACACACACACGACACACACACACACCACCCACCACCAACACACACACACAACACACAACACCCACAGCACACGAACCCCACACACAGCACAGCAAACACACACACACACAACACAAACGACACACACCACACCACACACACACACACACACACGACACCACACCACAGCATCAGCATAATGTTCGTGTATGTTACGGTGTCTCCCTGAGATATGAATTAAATGGAAGCCATATAAAAAATCAGATCTCATTCGCACGCGATGCTGGCCCAGCGGCAAAGAACGGCGGAGTGAGTATCTTGCGACGTGTCTGCTAAGTCGCCCGCGCGGCGCGCCACCGAGTCACGTGTACTGGTTAGCACCACCGACAGTTGTCTGGGCAAAGACGACGCGGTCGAGTACGCAGCACGACCCGAGACAGGAAGCGCGGTGTAGACCACACTGACGGAGAGAGTAGAGAGAACGGATTGAGTCTGGCCGCCATATTTTTAAGCCCCAATTTGCCCCCCCCAGCCCGCAGCCGAGGGCGGCGCCCCGCAAGAAGGACAGGGGCGGCCCCGCGCGGGGACCAGAGGAGCGCCGGAAGAGGGGGAAGAAACCGAGCCGAGCGCGGCCGGCAGA